GGATCAGGTATGGCGGGTAGCTATACCCGCACGAAAACTTTCGAGCGAGTAAAATACCCAATCGAGAATTGGGTGAGAGATATATTCCATATACGGCAAGTGCCAAAAATGCAAAATTCCGTAAACGTTAACATCACTTTTTTATACCCTGCAATTTGACAACATGCATATTTTATATGTACAACTGGGGTAGTTCTGATATTGATCTTCTTATGTATTTAAATATTAAAAAATATTTCGCATGAAAAATCGTTTGACAATAGTTGATAAATGATTAAAGTAAATAAAAGGATGTTTGTGCTGTTTTGGAACGACCCCAGCCCGTGCGAGCGTTTGCATCATCGCAAGACGCGGAAATCTTTAAGTTATTTCACTTGTCAATGTTTTGTCTGCGACGGTCACATGAAATCCTTTTGAAGCCTGTCGCTAGACCAGTGTGCGGCGACGCTGGCCTTCCGATCAGCTCTCATCCGACGGTACCCTGAAATTGCTACTAGCGTGGGATTGAGAGAATGCTTCAACTAGGTTTCGCTTATGAGAAGTTCGTGAAAATTGTATTTAGATATTATTTCCGTTACTTCGTCGAAATGGCATGGCAGAGTCTGGGAATTTAAGTGTGCAACGTGCAGACAGAGCGAAGATTAGACTTATTTAGTGTCAGACGTTTGGACGGTCGTGAAGAGGGTCCGGCCGCCCATAGGTAACAGGTTAGCAGGATGTGCAGGGAAGAAAGTAGGTAGCATTTACATAGGGATTGCAGAAGAAATGTTGGGAGAAGAAGACGGGAAGGATAGTTTTCGTAAAAAATCCGAAAGTGGTTGTGGCAGGGAGGTGTAGAGTGGGGTGGAAGGGTGGGGGCGAACGATGGTGCCGTCTTGTGTCCACACGTTCCTGAGGCTAAACTTGATGGTAGCTTGTAGCAAAACCAGGCGCTATTTCGTGAGGTCCTCGTAGATCGTTATCCTAGTATGCTCGAACAGCCGTTTCGAGCGGAACATTTCGTTGCGTTTCGTGTAACTGACAAATGAAACAATGATGGATCTGTTTTTGCCTGTTACTTGTCGACCTACCCAATGACTCCTGTCAATATCTTGTAGGTTTAAGCTAACACTAATCATATTTGCATGTTGCTCAATAACCAGCGTGTCGGTGTCTTCAGTTTAGTCTCATCGACGCCGAATATCCGCAAGCAGTTTCGGCGTGAGTACATGTGGAGGTGATCTCTTATTTCTTCTGAGATTATAGATTTGGAATCTCGCGGTCACGTTCAGCCAATTTCTTTTCTAAACATGTCACAAGATTATTATTGAAATTCATCGAATTGAACAGTTGCTTTGCTACAAGTTCAGTAAGCATAGATGCCAAAGAGCTTAAGAAGGTAGGCGATGTTACTGCCTTATCCAGTGCCTCAGACACTTGCCCCGCAATTTTAGTCTCAAGATCAATATTAGCACTAGATACTCACTAACTGCCACGGTCATCTTAAGAGAAAGAGTTATATAGAGGAAACTCAAATGATCATGAAAAAGCACAAGGAGAGTTGTTTTGTGGAGCAGTTGGCGAGGAGTAGAAAACTAATAGAGCAGTAGAGCAGATCGTGAAAGGTAAGGTATTACAAACTACAGCGTCAGACGGACGTTGAATGCGACAGCTGTGACGGTGACTCGCTGCGAAAGAAACTACCTGTTGCCTAGCTCGGAGCGCCAAGGGACGATGCTTACACCGCGACAGTCATCCACAGGCTGAATTTTTTGCTTTGATCTACAATATACGATGGACAACATTTTATTTATGTTTTCAGAAACGCGCTTCCGCGTTATATATATATATATATATATATATATATATATATATATATATATATATATATCCGTTTTCACAGTGAATAGTGATTTTTATTGTCCCAGAATTTATATACATCTCAATTAGTCGTGGGTAGTTACTTCTGTATGACATGAAAGAGTATTTTTGAGAGTCGATTTTCCGTATCGGACATACATCTGTTGCAACTTTTCTACAGGTTCTTCCTTTGTGCGGTGTAATCGCAGGGGTTCTGTTATTTAAAGCCAGTTTTACACGGCCATTTTTTAATTAATTTTTCATTGGTAAAGAAAAATGGGAGGAGATGGGATGTAATTTGCTCCGAAAAAATACGTTTGCTCTTTTCTTTCGGTACAGTTCCAACCAGTATGGCTACTGCGCTCTAGGCCTCAGTTTTGGGAACTTTTCTTCTTTTGTTATGCATGTGGTGCGATTCATTTCTTTTTTGTAGTTTCGAGAGCGTTCTAATGTGCAGTATTGCAATGAGAAGTGATTAGTGTTGTGAGAAAGAAAACATGTTGTGTTCTAATGTCGCCTCGTTGTGTGTTCAGTCGCAAAATAACCTAAATTAATTAGTAACAAAAGATGTGATGTTCGGCTTTTTGTCAGCGCTTTTTGCGACGTTCAGAGGAAATATTTTTTATTACGATTACGTGCAGAAAAGGAAATAATTGTGTAAAAAGGTAATCTCATTCATCCAGTTTTGATATCGAAACAAAACCGTGTAGAAACGAAAATCCCTTTTCCATCCTTTTTTCTGCTCAAAACATTGAAGAAAAAATGATCGTGCACAACGGAATTAATATTTTAAAATAATTGTTCCAGTAGACAGTACTTGCATGCGAATATTGTTTCATTGGGCCTTGATTAAAACATTTCAGCTGTTTATGATTTATTGAAGTTTTACGTAAAATATAATTTGTTGTGAGGATTTAGATGTTTCTTTTCTAAATAGGTGAAGTGGGATTTATTGTACATCAATTGAATGTGTCAGTATTTGATGAACGCAAGTGTACTACAAAGGGGAATGGCTTAATAATTGCTATGAAACATTTTTTTTTCTCTGACAGCTCTATCCTTCCAATGATAAAGCATGAAAGGTACGTGAGTCGAGAGAGGATTAGATATATAACATTTCACGTGGCTGCTGATTGCGGCTTTTGCAGGCAAATTTCAGAGCATTCTCATACGATTGTCAAGTAGAGAAACCAGTAGTAGCGTTAATATGAAATAAAACAACGGACGTATTCTGGTAATGTGGATAAGGTATATATAACTAATTTTTAGTTAAAATCTTAATTCGTTCAATATTCAAATTTCAATAGGATATAATATTATTCTAACAATTTTGTTTTTCATTAACTTTCCTAATTAACATAAAAGAGAAAAATCAACGAAATTTAATAAAACAAAATCTAATTTTAAGAAAATAAATAAACTATACATTACGGTTTTATTTATATTGAGTAAATAATAAGATAAAATGCTGAACTTTTGGGAAACTGTGGAGAATTTACAAGGCAACAATTTGTATATAGCCCCTTTTGTGATCTGCTTTAGAACACGATATATTCTTAAGAAGCGAATGGAAAACGTTCTTTTTTCTATTTTCCCCTTCTTTTGTATTGATTGTAAGGGTTAAAATCGGACATGAACGCTTGAAAAAAGTCTCGAAACAACTTAACCATATCTACAAAATCCCAAGGGTAATTAAAGTCAATGTTCGTCGCCGTAATGTGGTTAAAACAATTTAAACTTGAATAAGAACCTGAAAACACAGTTTTTCACACACAATCGTTTTTTTGTATTTGTACGAAATACTCCTGGTAAATTGATTTGCATCTGGCGATAAACTTGTTTTCTGCACTTCAATTACGATTTTCAACATTATTTTTTATCCCCAGTGGCAGTTACGAGTAAGATGCTACTTATGAAAATGTCAATATTCCTTCCATAATTTTACTTTAATTTGTTGTATTATATTAATTGTACGTTTTTCTTGTGCGTGATAATTTTTGTTGCTGCGTTCACTGCAAGTTATTTCTGTTAAGCTGCTCTTGCACTGTGGAGAAACCCTGGGAGGCGAGGAAAACAACTGTTCAGATTCGAAAGTTGCATGTTCTGGCCTGAAATATGCAATCGCGTAGCACAACCAAGTCGCTTGCCTTTCACCAAGGAGGTCCGGGTTCGATTCCTTGACAATCTCACGTGAAATTTGTTCCAACGAAATACGTTTGGCTGCTTCACAGGGGCCAGCACTTTCCTAATTCCTTCCCAATACTGGCCGCTGGATAGCGACGCAGGAACGCGCGGAGTAAGGCTACTCGCAAAATGAGACGCAGGGCCGTGACGTGACTGATGGTGAGTTTCTGCAAACCAATGCTTATTGGCCGTGCGCGAGCGCTCATGCGCGGGTCCAATAAACAGCGGTTATCAGAAACTCACCATGAGTTACTCTGTGTCTCATTTAGCGAGTAGCCTAAGAGACGCGAACGTGGTAGAGACGTTATTTGGCGGTCCTCTTGACAACTGTCACGAGAATTCACAATAATGATGACTTATATAATGAATGTTAATGGAACATTACTCATAAGTGCGGGCCTTAATGCTCTTGTAGGGGTTTGAAGACGTGTTGCGTCACTGTAGACGCCACATATTTTTTTTTAAATAAAAAGGTTCAAAGGCCGTGTGTGAAATGCAATTCTTATTTTTTTGTGTCCCGGTCCATGGGGGAGGCGAGGGTTAAGCAGTTCTCCCGTTATTTTGAAGGCGACCTCGACATGAGGTTTCGGGGGCACAGAGGAACTCTTGCCTGCTAATGTGAGAATTGACCCAGGGCAACGGTATTTACTGCGAGAAGCCGCGGTCTCACCGTGCCGATAGATGACAGTCGGAGGAGGGATTTGACGGAAAACTAAAAAGGTAGCCCCGACTCAAAAAGTACGGAGTCAGTGCCATTTTGTAGTAGCTTTAGTTCGAGAAGAAACCTATAGGTTATATTATTCTGTTCTACTGCTTTTTCACTGCTTTTTTTTCTTAGCAGTGACTAAAATGTAAATCTATGGATCATGTCAGGAATCAGTATTTAGAAAGATATCACTAGATGCATAGTTGTAGAAATTGCCATGTTTCATTCAGTCACTCTGCATTATATTAATTTTCACATTCTTAATTTTCAGAAGAAGGGAGTCAGTTTTGCATCCCCTACTAAAGAAGATTACAGACTACTAGATGAGGACCTTCTAACTCCATTAAAAGAAGCACAAAATGGAGTGGAATTAGCAAGAAAGCAGGACGCACAACATGTAAGATGTATTGTTTATAAATTATGCTATGCATGTTGTTGAATCATTTATTTTTGAAAAGAAGTAATGGGGAAGTCAAGTAATTGGTTAATGGTTGCTACATTTGCTGATGATGAGGAACACCCCCATGTGCTGATGGTTTATTTTTACTTCATCGCTATTACAAAAGTACATCGTAGGAAGTGAGTTATTTAACCGACCTGAAAACGACCAATTTTTGGCAGAAAAACTCTCATTTCAAGGTCACTGTCACAAAAAAAAGATAAATCCGGTTGCTAACTTTCGAGAGAGAAAAAAAGAATCCTCAAAAACGTGGTGTAGCCGGAATCCGTTTTGTGGGTCCTTGATACCGAAAAGTCGATTGACGGAGAAACTTCTTGCTGTCCGTCTTTCTAGGGGTAAATTGGACGCTTGGAGGACTTTAATGTGTTAATCGGGAGGGCTGATCTCCCAGGTCCATCCTCAAAAACGTACCTTGAGAAGCTGTCACCAGCGTGGGAGAGGTTATTGATCTTGTGACCTAATGAATATAGGTGAGAATTCTTATAATAAGAGCTCGGGAGTTGTTAACCCTGTAATACATCAGATTGACAGTTGACATGAAAGAAGAGTGCAAACACCCCGCCATTCTTGATAAACCTCCATGCCGCCTCGTGCTCTCTGAGCATAGAACGAATGCTTTGACCGAGGCTGTTCCATGCTGGCAGCTCTCAGCCATGAGTCAGCCTCTCAGTTTAATCTGCAGCCTAATTACGCACCATAGGTAACTGCTTACACCGTTTGTTTATTACCCTTTACTGATTGCACTGGAGGTGTCGAACCACTCTTTAAGGTATTAGGTATCGTACTTTTGGAGTTGTTGTTATTGCTATTATTATTATTATATTATTATTGTTGTTATTATTATCATTGTTATTAGCATTATCTTTATTAATTATTATTGTTTCCTTTGCTGAATAGTTTATAGTACTACCTATCTTTATGCACAGTATTTTTACCGAGGCATCAAATGCTATCACTGCATGCCTCTGATCGGGAGGCCCTAGGGTTCGAGCCCCGACGGTGGCAGCATTTTCTCCACGAGCTACATAGCTAGGTCAAATTCATCCGCTGTCTCGAGAAGAATTCTAGCGGCCGGCTGCTCAGATCGGTAGTTTTCTGTGGGTTCTCCGATGAACACCATGTCGGAGTAGTACCCTAACAAACGGACTACGGTCTGCGCGCGATCTTTCTTTCCTCTTCCTTGTCCTATTCGCACCCCTTACAACCCCCGCCCGGCAGAGGAAGATCCCCGCCACCTGTCGAGGAAGAAACATTCACATGTTGCCGTGCAGTTAGCTATTGACACGCCTAAAACACGGAATATTCAATCGTAATTTATTTCGAGGAGACCCCATGCTTCATTTAATTGACCGTCCGGGCGACGCCGCGTCCACCACCGCCGCAACCTTCCTCGGGGCGTAATGTCTTTTAAGGTCGCAAAATGGCGACCGAAACATCGGCACCTTCGCATTGGACGCGGCGTCACCCGGACAGCCAATTAAATACAGACTCCGGCCGCGGAAGCCTACGCTCTCAATCCATTCTTTATTTGTGGCAAATAAACCATGATCATCCTGCAGTAAAAAGTCACTCGGCATAGAACTGAGTTGCTGTGCGTGTTGCAGTGTGGGTGCCGAGGCGAGCGCGTGGCTGTGGCGAGGCAGGTGGAGGAGAGCCGAGTGAACGTGGTGCTGGCGCAGGCCGCCATTGAGGAGACGGTGGAGGAACTGGACGCAGTGGCGGACATTTTGCGCGACAGAGAAGAAAAGGTGCTATTTATTTATTTAACGTCAATACAGTTGAAACCTGTGTGGCGTGTGTTACGGGGAGAAGTGTATTCTATGCCTGTTTTCATAATTTTGGAATCCCTACCCTTAACCATTACAATTTGAATTCTGAATACGGAAAGAAATAAGCGTTTTGACAAGAATTGTTAACAAAATATTCACTATTGTGTAAGAAGATCTATTTTCAAAGGCAAATCAGCTATAGATTTGGGTTCTTATCCTTCATGTCCTTTGTGAGGGAATATACTTTTGCAACAACATGGAGAACGATAATTTGAATAACTGTATTTCCCACTGAACTCGAGAAGACGTGCACTGATAAAGACATTACTTGTATGTACAGAAGCAAAACAAGGGGCTATCTCATGCCTTGGAAGTAGTTTTTCACCACAAGTTGTGTAATTGTTTGCATTTCTTTAAGAGGAGCTACAGTCAACTCTAATTGAAGTGAACCAAAGACCACAGAGAATACAAATAAACTCTAGAGGATTTGGTTGTAGTGATTACAGAGTACAACTTCCAAGGAAAAAAAATACTCCGTAGTTTTTTTTAAGCACCTCTATGATAACAAAATTAGTGGTCGAGAGGAAATTCCTTGATTTTTGGATAATTGGATATTGTGAATCAAAAACGGTCTCTAGAGAAAGGATTCCCAACCATTTCGTTTCATCGACCCCTTTTAAAATAAAGATTTCTACATCAACCCCTTGACATTTTTTGTAATATAAAACATACAAATTAATCAGAATAAATAATTGAACATAAATTACTTGATAACAATTACAATGACAAAGAATATGAACAGATACATGATACAGTCAAACCTGCCCATAACAGAAGAGCACGGGACCGATAGAAATTTCTGCTAAATGCAGTTTTCCATTATTAATAGGTTTTCCAAATGTACTGAGCTAAATAAAATGTACTTTGTCACACAATAATGATGTTTAAATTAAATAACTTGCTATAGCGGGGTTTCGTCACAGTTAAAAATTTCCATCTCATTGTACCCAGATGTGATCTCTGGAATTCTTTTCAGCCACTTTCTCTTTTTGAATGATTAGTTTGAAGCCTTAAATTCCCACTTGCATAACTTTGGAGTGATTTCAGTAGCCTTGGCTTGTAAAATGGGCCCTGAAATTGGCTTGTTTGTTGCCCGCATTCCCACATGAGTTTGTTAACACTTTCCTTCTCATTTTTAGCACCTCTTCATTTTGAGAGTGAAGAATTTCCATAATAGATTCTTTCTCTTGAAAAAATGTATACACTTGTGTCTTCTTTATTTCGAATTTTTCACACATTGTGTGGCCTGTCATTCTTCCTTTACACTGTAACATGCCCACAAATTCTTGCACTGTCAAGAGTCTCCTCTTCTCCAGACTCATCATTGGAGCGCTAGACCAAAGACATGGTAAGTACTTATCTAAAATCTTGTAACAGTTCAACCGCTTCGCATATTCGGACATTTTCACACAAGCCTTTTGGGCTGGGAGAGAAAGGACAGCACCTGCATCATCGGGAACAGCTTCCCCCCTCTGGGAATTTATAAACTTCTAGGCAATCGTGCTGCATGCCCCAAGCACTTGTGAAGGTCATTCCTTTGTCTCCACTTTCTCCCCCTTTGTTTTTGACAGGTTTGGTTATAAAAACATGTATTATGAGATATTCTGTACCTTTATGTATGAAAACAATAATTTAATTTGTACTTTTTGTAATCTATAGGACTTATTTGAATATTTGTTGAAGCATATTCAGCTAACAAACCTCAATCGACCTCTTGATCATCATTGACCCCCTTTAAAATTTCATTGACTCTCGGTGGGTCAATACAGACCCCGTTAGAAAACACTGCTCTAGATGTTCACCATAACTGAACTTAATGGTATTTCAATAAAATTTCTTAAAATAAAACTTGTAAACTCCATATCAGGTAATTACAAAAACTGGTGTTTGTGTGCATCTGCGTCTGTTTATGCATGGGGGGGGGGGGCTCATGCGTGGGGAAGTTGCCCATGACCCCAGTTCGTGCCGGGTTTCCTGCAAGGGCAAGTAGCTTGGGCAGGCGCGGTTTGACTGTCCCAGAGGGTACCATCTAAAAATTGTTTGATTTCAATTCAATCGATTTCTGTTGTCAAGATGACTCAAATGAGTTATTGATCACCCAACACATTTTTTAGAAAGATATTTCTTGGAATCTGCTAGATGGATCTGCAAAAAATGATTTATTCTTGCCAGGAGACTGAGGCACATCGAATGACCTCTGATCTCTCTTGATTGGTGCTCCAGAAGGAGTCAGGCTATGAGTGATGGACGGATCTAGATTACTCGATTACTGTTCATGGAGGTGCCCTCTTCACCCCAGCATCATCACAGCAGCAAAATTGTTTTGCAAAAAGCATGCATTTAAAAGTGTGAGATGGCTTTCATTGAATTAAAATTCAATACATCTGTTTACAGGCTTTGTATGTGTCTGTTTCCTTTGAAACAAAAAAGAAGAGACCAAGACAAACATTTTCAATAAAATACTCTTCTTCTAATTACCATTGTTTTTATTTTTAACAATTACACGTTTTTTCACTTCTTTCTGTGTATTGAATTTTTGGTCCCTTCATAGCCTGTTCTTCCCTTACCTAATGATAACTGCTCTGACAAACACCCCAAGTCTTGGTCTTGAGAGATGGTCTCCAATGCACTTTGCCTTGTAGATCAAATCACACCTGTTGCTGCCGAATAATGACAAATGCAATGGCACCTGTAACTGGAACGTAAGTGATATGTACCCAAATAACAAAATTCCTTTTCTGTTAGATTCGTGAACTGGAGGCTGATATTCAGCGCTTGCAAAATACTCTGATTCACTCGCAACAGGACATAGACGTTTTTCTCCAACCGGTGGAATGTGAAGTAAGTATAAAGTTTATATAGCAGTGATTAGTAAAGATTTTTTTATATTTATGTGCATATTATATAGAATCATAATCTATACTTGTTTTAACAAGTTTTTAAAATAACCAACTTCAGTAACTGCCATTTGTATTATAAAAACAAAAACACCTTACATTGCCATTCTACAGAGTTTCGGCCCTTGTGAATGTGGACATTTTTTAACTCTTGTTTAGTTGTAGTCTAGTCATTGTCAAAACTGTAAAATATAAATCAATATCTATATATGGACTGAGTCAATAATTGATTGACATTTTTAACAAAACAGTCTGTGTGTGCCAGTTGTATGTTCAATAGCACCTGCAGACAGGTAGTCTACAATGTAGCTGTTTCAGTTTCTCAAATACGGAGTGTAGATAATATTATGAAATGCTCCAAATAATTAATGCTGATATTTTGACAGAAATAGACATTTTGGAAGGGGCTTAGATCTAAAAAGAGGGATTCCTCCTTCTTCTCTTCCTTTCCTCCTCCTTTCATTCCCCTTCATCTGTCAATAACACTAGTGCCCTAAGCCAAAAAAATAAATAAGATTTTCACCAAAAGGGACATTTGTCAATTGGTAATCTTTTGAAACAGATCTTTAAATTTTGGGCGATAATTCACATAAAGTTCCTCGGAAGATCATTGAAATCAAAGCTGGTTGGGGTGTGGCCTAGACCCTCATTTGTGAGACTTATGAATTAATTCCTTGACAAACGAAATCGGAAGCAAATTTAGCAGGTGGATTTCCTAACTGGGTCAAATGTCAAATCAAAAGCTATGCTATCTCAAAATCCAATTGGGCACAAGAAATAATTAAATGACAAGCTACTGACCGCTGCATGGTGCTTTCAATCATGCTTGTTCTTTTTTATTTTTTTTATTATTATTATTATTATTATTATTATTATTATTATTAATTTCAGGCGTCTCAGAGAGGTCTCCAAATAAATAATTTTGAGGACAAACTACAAAGGTTGAGTTCAGCTATGAAGGATTCTCAAAAGAACATTGAAGACTATGTAAGCATCAAATATTTGTGTATATTTTGAATAGAATAGAAGTATGGAAAATGTTAGTTAGATTTTGCATTGGAATACAAGAAATGTTTAGAAAGTATGCTGTCAGATGCTATGATGATTGTGTTCAAGATGCCTACAATCATTTTTCAGCAGTACCACCCCCTCAATATATTCTTGTCCAACACATAATCAGTCAATAACACTTTCCAAATTTACACCTTAGAGAAGGCTTAAAATAATTTGTAGAATTGCCTACATTTCTTTGTATGGGAGTGGGCACTGCCTTGCAGATTGCACTTAGAATTTTTGGTGCCATAAAAGTATGTCATCCTTTTGTAAAGATTGTAATGTGTTCATGTCTCAAGATAAGTTATTTTAGAATAAATCAATTAATTAGGTGTGAACAAGAGATAGATGTGGACATATGATTAGAAAATAATTCTCAAATTTCATGATTCTATAATTCATTAAAATAAACAAATTTGAAGAAAACAAACCATTTCTTCTAACTTGTGTGTGGAACAAACAGCTAGAGCTTTGAGCACCAATGATTGCCAGCAACTGTTCTGACAGTGTGCTATAGCAGCACAGGTAGTTCCACGAATTGGGTGAGATTAAAACGGTTCGTAAGGAAGTGTATGTTTTTATGAAGATCACTGTTGATCATATGTTATTGGTAATTTTTGGGGTAAGCACGCAAGTTTTTGAGGTATCTTGTGTGTTGTGTTTGTGCTTGAATGTGCATATATTAGTCGACCAGGAAAACTAATGACCAGGCCCAATATAGAATGAAGGATGTTTGTTTACCTTCATTCTTTGATACCCTAGTTCAGAGTACACTCTGTGTGGCATCGTTTGTGATCCCCAAAGAGAATTACTCCAGTGGCGGGAAGCGGTGAATATGAGAACTAATGTAGTTTACAAAATGTCAATCTTCAGTGGCTGTTCTCTAGCACTTGCCCCAATACTATTCTTTGATTAGTGGAGTTCATAGTGTTCTAATGGAAAAAAAAAAAAAAAGAGAGAAAAAAATAATTAAAAATGTCGCGATTCTCTCAAAATTTGTCCATTAGAAAAATGAACAAAAAAACTTCCTGGTGTATTCTTTGTTCTACAACAAAGATGTGCAGATGCAGGTATTGTGTAAAAGATGGTATTGTGCCGGACATCTTTGACGAAACAATTGTTAATTGGATACCAATAATTAATGGACTCCGACAGTGATTCGCCAGAGAGTGAAGCCTACAGATCATTATCATATTCTGAATAAGGTTAGTTTGCTGAAATAATCATGCAAGAAAAACGTCGGCGATCGCGAAATAAAAAAAGAGTTTTTCGCGCGGCCAGTAGTACGTCTATTCCGAGATGTCCTCCCCACCAGCCCTCCGTTTGTAGGAAGAGACCTACGTCACTACAGTACCGCAGTCGGAGAACTCAGTTCTGGACAGTAACTCTATTCATTGTTTGAACAATTTCTTCCTGAATATCAAAAAATTTTTTTGTTCGTGGTTGGCAGTTTTGGTTCCAAATATTTCCTAAATGCGAACATTGTAGGGTGGTAAATAACACTTCAAGGGCCCAGGTACACTGAAGCCAATGCATTTTAATTTGATAAACTAAAACAACTGTGTAATTGCACTGTGTAATTTACAAAATATCTACAAACGCGAAAAATGGCTTAAAACAAAAGTAGCTGCCATGTGTGAACCATGTTCAATAATTTCAAAGAAAATGGTTTTGAGCAGCTAAAACATAAGGAAATTAATAAACCAAGTAATATTTTTTTGATAAGGCTGAGCAACGAGTGCTGGACCTTATAAAATGAATTGACCCTCTAAGATTAAACTGCTGCCCCCACCCCCATCTTCTCTGACCACATATGTGCACAATCTGGGGTCTTGCCCCCTGGAGGCATTTGCATACCATGGTGCATAGATGTAGTTGAAAGAGACATGTGTAGATAGTAGATGAGGATATTCTCTCTAGGGTTATATAGTTCCATTAAAGATGTTTTAATTTATTTGTAAGTAGTGGTGTATTCTGCATTATCTGGGCTCTTTTTCAAAATATCAATGCTAAGGATCACAAGCACTCACCTACAAATTCCACCATGAACCGCCACTGATCAATCATCAATGCCACCAACACTAGGGGATGATGCCTATATGCAATTCATTTTGATAACAATTAGTAGAGAAAATAGTAAGTAATTTGGTCGACTTTTACATGCGGCTTGTTTGGCTAATTTTTATTCTTTCTTTGTATATTTATTTTTCTTAAATGTTTTGTTTAGTGGTGGCATTTATTCTTTAGAAGGCTTGAGTTCAATTGATTTATCAGATTGTTTTCTTTAATAGATACGTGATAAGGAAACCTCTTATAATAGTCAAAAACGAAGTGAACAAAAAATAAAAAAATTGCAGTTGGAACTGGAATCTATTCAAGAAGATTTAGAACAATGTTTGAAAACATTTGAAGCTAGTGAAGTGTGATATTACTTCAGTGTTCTATCTTTTCATAAATTTTATGAGTGGCTCAGCATTAATTTGAAAAGCCATTGCTCATAGTTATTTGATTCTGTAAATAATTGTAGACTATATTAAAAAATAATACATTCATTTAGAAAAAACAATATATTATGTTTTGTGTATGATTTCATGCATTGTTTTCGAACAACCCAGCCTCTTCTTTACCCTCCATTGTTCCCCATTTGGCTTCGGCCTCTTACACAGTACAATTTCAGCACAGTTTGGACTTAGAGAGTATGCACAGTTGAAACAGGCTTAAGTACCTCAAGGCATAATTGATGTCACTGCAGTGTGTGTGACAGGGAGGTTCTGAGGTTTGTCTCCTGATGGTGACAGGAATTTCGACACTAGTTACATAGGTTGAATTCAGCTGTAAGAGAATTATAGAATTATTTTTGTTCTTTAAATTTTCTGTAAGGAGAGAGAAAGACATTTATAGGACCGATTGCCCTTGTTAACACTGAATTTACGAAAATTACAAAATTTGAATTTTTTGTATGTCTCTCTACAATTACAATTTTGAAGACAGCGATTTTTTCTTCAAATGAAAATTGATATTCACACACAATTATTTAACGTACATTTTTTCAAAAAAATTAGTAATTTTACTGTATTTTTGGATGAAAAAGACAGTAAGTCGAAATATACGGCAATATAATAACATTTAAAACAATATTTTGTGAAAAAGGCTCCGATTTTTTATTATTTACACCCTTAGTACGGATAGTGTTAAATGCATTGTATGAGAAGACATACGCCATTTTGCTGCATTCTTTTGTTTTTTTAACTAGTGCTGCAATAGCACACGCTTTCTCTTGTGATTTCTAATAGATAAATTATTCTACTATATAAACTTGCAAAAGTCTTTTCAACGCCAACAATTTATTTCCGCTCCGAGACCCGACCTCAGAGTTAACTTACCGGCACCCATACCACTACGCCACAGAAGCTCCGTGTAGCGAGAACCTTCTTAAGAGCGTGAAGGAATAATGTTCGGAACCGTTAGGATATCACAGTAGAAGAAAAACTAAGTTGGCCCCATGGGTAGTGATGAATTTAAATTTAATGTTGATGGATTCGTTAGTTTACTTACATCGGTTCATACAGATGCACAGAAAGACATCAATTGATTTGACGCGACATAGGTTTTATAAATCGAACAAGAGAGTTAAAAAAATGTTGTAAAGTTGCAAATTCGTTAATCATTAGACACATCCGGTTTATTTGTCTGTACTGATTCTACTCACAAATATAAGTGCTTCAAATGATTTTCAATAAAGTTTCTGGGATTCTCGATATTTTCTTCAACTACACATTCATGAGAGATAAGAAACAAATTAAAATCCCAGAGTGTGACTCGAGCCGGCAACCTTTTGGTCTGAAGCGCTGAATCCCTACACGCCATTTGATCACCTCATTCATCCGAGTCGCACACGGACTCTTCATTACCACAGTAGACTTAAAGATACGATTGTTACAGTTCTAGCATTAGAGAGCCAAAAAAGTGAGAAAATGTGAAAAAATGTCCTTTGGGCGACGCAAGGCAGCTAGGAAGAGAATAAGCTCTAACCCAGTGTTATTCAAACTGTGAGGCAAGAAAGTTTCAGAGGGGAGGGGCGAGAACTTTGTAATAATTTAATTAAATAATGCTTAATAACGCTCCATTTCTACATGAATAAATTACTGACTGTATGTGCCATTACTTCTTGTACGTACAAAGTGTGTCGGCATCAACGAAAAATTCTTTACTGGTATCATCTTCCTTTTACATTTAGATTTTTCACAAAGCCTCTGCTTCCACCCAAAAAAACAAAACAAAAACAAACGACCGTGCCTTTGTGTTGTTCTGCCTTGCGGGTATACGAATATATGTCTAGCTTGATCGAGATCGGTGAGAGAAAAAAAAAGCAAAGTAATGACGTAAATGGCACAAGTAAGACAATGTGACAAAAATATGCATTAGAAGCTAAACTAGGCGAAAAAAGGCTAGATGAAAAATACTGAAACAACCCCAGAAGCACAATCAAGGGATTCCCGTTGTCAAAAGATATGAAAGAGTAACAAAAACAAAAAAAAAATTACCAAATTTCCTGGCTGTACTCATCACACAACCTCGCTGCTCTGAGGGACCTAATTTTCTCGCCGTTTAATTGCCGGGTGATGGTGAGAGTCGGGGTAGTGGTTGGTACGAGTCGGTTTCCTGTCGATAATATGCCCTAGACTACCGTTAGCTTTCCGACTCGCCAGTGCGTCCAAGAAAGGCAATTTAGCCCTCTTTTTCACTTAAGTGAACGTAATTTTGGGGATTGTATAATTGAGGGGCTGGAGGAAGTTAGCAAATGTGTGATGGCAGTGGGGTGTATCGCCCATATAGCCAAAGAGTTGGTTTATGTGGTGCACGCTCCAGGCCTCCGTTTCGAGAGCTTCCACATTGCCACGACAGGAGAAAGAGAGGGGGAACCCGTGGCACTAACCCATTCTACTTTAGTATAGTTGCTCACGATACTGGAGATATAATTTACTGAGTAAAAGAATTCGAAAATGTAGGGAAGAGATCACAGCTGTTGTATATCTGTATAAACTTGTACACCTACGTCAACCTAGAAAGATAACTATAGAGCGATTTTTATAAGAATGAGAAGTTTTGACAGATTATGCTGGCAAGACATCTAAAGGTTCTGCGATCGTTGTGTCTTTGAGCCTATTGGACTATCTTTCCTCCGTTCGTTCGTTTGCAGTTGGCTAACTTTTAATGACTTTGACGCTTCCTTTTGTGATGTCCTCGTCCGAAGAAAATGTAGTGTGCCACGAGAAATAATTGAAATTAGGAAGTGCAGTGCTATGTGCTCTGTAAAAATTATTTTTTATAAACATTACATTGAATTTAGTTTTTGTGTGATAAGTATTACGTTTATTTTAAAACCGAGTCTTGAATGTGAGATGCAGACTGGTGGCGGTGCACGAGATTCCGCGTGCATTGTAAGGTGCAGAGTCGTGTTCAAGAGCGTTTCGTGGTTCCGTGCTTTGCTTTTTATATATATTTTTATATAATTGTGACGCAGTTGTGAACCATGAAAAGCCAGGGTGAACGCAAAGGTCATCCTCCTTGTTCACGACTAAGAAATGCATTAACATGCAGAACATTAGCGGCAATTATTTACTCACATTTGAGTAATGAGAGCATAGTACTAAATATTGATAGTCGGGTGTTATAGTTATAAATAAAGTACCCTCCTCACTACAAGAATGCATGAGCCATTCACTGTGAAAAGATCAGAAAAGGAATTTAAACATACGCTGAAAAATCATTTTCTTTCTATTTACATTCGTGACAGTTTTCTTGAAAATGAAAGCATGTTCAAACAGTTTTGCAAATACTATACGTAATTAAATTTTAATATTTCCCGGACTCATGTGCATGTACCTGAGGGGAACTCAGACTTCTGTATATTTTCACGGGCAAACACTTTACGGAGGGGCGTGACTGAAAAGTTGCAAGGATACTTCTCTGAATTACACGTGATGTTCACTGTTTAGCGAACTGTCACTTTGGCTCAGTCTTATCAAAATCGCTCTTTACCCTTTGAATCGCGAAGATTCTGTTGAATTTCCTGGAAGCTTATTTCGAAAATTTGAAAACAAAGTGATATCAGGAGGGACTGATCTCTGTCATTACACGCATGCCATGTACTAGATGAAACTGGTTTACAATTTGCATATTTCAGACCGTAAGTTCAGTTTCAGCCAATGGCAGCTTTCTTGTGCAGGTACTCGCGATTCCTGTAATGACATGATACTTAATTGTGTTACTCTTTGCAATGTTTGGAACTGTATACATACTTTAAGTGCATTAAAGTAGTACTGAAACTTGTAATTTTCAATTCATTTTCAGAAGTGTACATTCTGTAACTTACTGAATGACAACTGCAATATTCCTACTTTTATACAAAAATTGAGAGAGGAAATCGAAAAATTGAAATCAACAATTTCAGCTAATGAAAATGTGGTGGGTAAGACTATAATATATTTATACAAATGATATTGTTTTCAAAGTAATAACATTGAAAGCTTAATAAGAAAATGTGTGAATGCGATGACTTGTAGATTTTACATCAAAGAGAAATGCTGAACATTCAACAGGAAGCTTTAGTGAACTCTCAAGACGAGGTGAAGGAGTTGCAGAATCAGTTGAAGAAACTGGTGAGTGACCAGAGGCCCTACGTCAAGAGATTTGGGTAAAATGAGAGAATTAACTAGTAGGGAAACAAAATGGCTCTAACATAATCTTTGTTAGTTTCATATTCTCATGAGTCGGGAGCTGCTTTTTGGTTTTGCACCCTCGCAGCCGCCATCCTTCGGCGTCTGAGAGACCCGGCAGGGCCTTTCGCATCTGCGAGGATGTAGCCCTATGGCGCATGTGCCATTGTTGCGCTTGTTTGAATCCAGCCTCTCCATTACGCAGTCAAGTAGAACCACAGAAATTCCACACGTATTTACTGATCAGGACAAGAGAGTATGGAAGGATTAGGATATTGATGTGACACATGAGGAACTTTATATAAAAATACCTTAAATATTTAAGTTAATACATCAAGTAAAAATATTTTTCATTTTCTAAGAATTTATGGTCAATATTGTATGTACAAGACGGTGCGATTTTAATTCCTCGTTAATAACTACTTTAGAAATGTGTAAATGCCATACATTTTGTTAAAATGGTAATTAACGAAACGAGTGTATAAATAAGGAGGTAATTGCGTGAGTGCTGTGTCCAAGAAAACGAGCGACGATAGAAGCAAGTTTTGTTATGTACCACGAGTGCAATTATACCCCCTTTAAACACATATTACGTTCAATATTTTTTTGTTTCCATTTGAGAATAATTTAAATTTTGAGAAATTCAAGCACATCATTACCTTTTGAGATATACACGTGAAGATATATTGCTTCTGAAAGATCTATTGTAGTGGCCCTCACATTGTTTGCAAGAAATATTTTCATGTGGAAGGTACTGAACATATTGCGGATAAAATATTAGAAGCTGACGAAGCCATGAAAACATTACTTCCCACGAAGAGTAGAGACAGGTATGATAGAGAATACTAC